CTTGAAAAACTCTGAAATAGTAGAACAATAAAATAAAATGCAACGAACCCATCTGGGATGATCCTGCGATCAACAACAGTTAAAACGTCAATTCACCTAGTATACTGTAACATCGTGAAACACGTTCATTCCTATATAACATTATAAGCTAACAAGCATGCTAACAGCTAACCGTAACTGTTTTCCTGTAGAAATAGGAGACACCAAACTATCGCTCTTTTTGTTACTCACCTTCTGCTCTTCCATTAATAAAATAGCATCTTCGGGGACCCCTCGGCCACGCAAAAAGTCACTTATATCCACCATATTTAGTGAATTAGTTCTCCACCTGCCAAACTGGACACATCGCTGTCACCGAAGCTGGAAGCCTGCAGGTGCCCACCTCAGAATTCTGAGAATAAAGTCAGAATTCTTTTTTCCCCAGTGGCCCTAATCCTCTTCCGTACCCGGCGCTGTTTCGGCATTTTTAAAACTTTCCACCTCCAGAGAAGAAGTCAGACCTCAGCGCTGAGTGCTCATTAACCACAGGTAAGTAAGGTTACCTGAAATAAGAGTAAACCTGCAGCATAAATGTGCAGCTGTGTTTTGAAGGTTTATGACAGCTGGATTCATGTTTAGTTAAACAGTTTGTTGCTGTGTTCATCATGAATGAACGGCAGCTTTCATTACTCCGTGTGTGTAAATCAGCTGAGTGGGTTTCTGACAGAGTTATGTTGGCAACATTAAACGTGTGTGTGTTGTTTTCATGTTGATAATACACACACACACACACACACACACACACACACACACACACACACACGGCTCCACCTCAAACCCAAACCTCTTTTTAAGCATTTCTGCAGCTGGGTAATATCCATTGATTATTTAAAATTACATTGTGAATTGCAACTAACAACAACAACCCGCTTCTACAGTAGCTAACATGTTCGTGGATGATGACGACCAATCAGACACCACGTCAGTTATGGAGGAGACAAGCAATGAAGCAGTTGAAGCTACTACATTACTCGTAAGTGTTCCGTGTTCTTCAAGTAAAACAGATGCATCAACCCAGACTGAGATTAGTCAGACGTAGCGGCACAGCAGCAGTCTGATGTGCACTTTCCAGTCTCAGCGGACCACACCTACACAAGCAGACAGGAGACTGAACTGGACAAACAAGTAGACGTGGATGATGGTAACTCCCAGGATTTGTTCTTGTCATTTGATGAATCTATTGAACCAGTGAACTGAAGAAGCTTCTCGGATGAGAGGTGAAACGTCTTCAAGCAACTTAAAGAAGTCCAGACACTTTTCTTTGCAAGCTCCTTTGACCTCCAGCTCTCGAGTCTCAGACTTCAAACACCGCACATACAAACACAAGACTTCTTCTAGTTTATGAGCCACAGTTAAAACAATTACACAAGCGGTGTATGAAGTGTGGCTCCCCGATTGTACAAGAAGAAATCAAAGAGCTTCAAAATGAAGGATCACAGTTGACTCTGGAGCTCAGTACAGATGGCAGTCTCAGCCTACTTTGAGTGGCACCAAAGGACAAGGAAACCTGCTTTTAACAGCATCAGTTTTTTAGTGGCATTCATTTTGCTAAATTTTGTAGTAACTTGAACCTAAGTGACGACACATACACGTCATTGAGAAAGAGATTTGTGTTTCCTGTTATTGAGAAAATGTGGATAAAAGAGCAAAAGTAGTGAGCTAAAAGCCATGAAATCACAGGAAGAAGTTGTTGTCTGTGGAGATGGCAGGTGTGATTCTCCTGGACACTCAGCCAAACACTACAAACACCTACACCCTACCTGTCACCCAAGTTTCAAATTCTAATGCCACTGAAATCAAAGGATTTAAAGAAGCTCTAAAAACCAGAGAGGAAAATAAAGTGTCTCAATCCATCATCAGTGCGCATGTGTTTTCAATGTTGAGTGGTTGTATGATGCAAACAGTGTGTTAGTTGTGTTTCACTTCTGTAGCCTGTGTGCATCGCACTGTTAAATGTGTTGTGTGTTTAGAGTTTTGCTAAATGGGAGATTCAGACTTAAATGGTGTCCTGACCAGATGAATAGTGTTTACGATTTTGGCAGATCCATTTGATGAAGGAGTTTTCATAGTTGACAGTCATACCCAGGGAGCGCTCCGATCCCTCCTGTTGAAGCTCGATCGATTAAAGACACGTGTGCACCTGTGAGGGAGCGGAGCCTCAGGCTGCAGGAGGAGGTGCAGGGAGAGTACGTCCTGGACTGTGTCTTCTGGAGAACGATGACTGGTGAATGGACTGGTCTCTGTACTCTACTGCAGCACTCAGAGCACGTCATACACCCTGTGTGTGTTTAAAGTGTTTCATATTCACACTCAGGCGGACATTTACGCCTGGAGAAGGAAAGGCAGAAGATTATTGGACTGTGGAAATGATGCCATTATCGATTATAACAGCACGGCGAAACAAAACCGC